GGATGATCTGACGAGCCATTTTTACAGTTTAAGGAACTTCAAGTCAAGTCAAAGTTTATTATATAGCGCTTTGATATATATAGCACAGGTGTTGTCACAAAGCAGTTTTACAGAAAAATCCGGGTCCGAGCCCCCATGAACGTCGTTAATGGAGACAGTGGCAAGGAAAAACTCCCTAAGAGCAAAGAGGAAGAACCACTGAGAGGAACCAAGACTCAAAAGTGGAACCCATCCTCCTCTGGACCACACCGGATAGCAAACAGTGTTAGAATAAAATATTAGAATACAAAACGGGGAAAAACAGGCGGAGCAACGGTTAATTAGATAGTGTGAGTTTATGCAGCAGCAGCATCATCATTCAGGACACTGTCCACACTGGAAGACTAGACAGGACGAGTGGCAAAAAGATACTCGGTGTGATTTTGGTGTAACTCATCAGCGATAAACAGTAAAAAACACAAAAGGGAGCATAATTATACCAGATCCATGAAACACACCACTCAAAATACTCATATTAATTTGTCTTTTTATACAATGGGGCCCAAAAGACTGAGACCACACTGACAATCTGGGATTTATTTCATTTAAATCTGAAAATAAACTAATTTCAACAAATTTAAGACATGGAAAAGTTATGGGGAGTAAAAAGAAGAAGAGATGTTGCACTATTTCTAGGTCACTATCAAATTTGTGACACTAACCAGGTTAGTGTACTAAAGTGTACTAAAAGGCCAGATCAGTTATCTGTCAGAGCTTTCACTGAAGGTCGTGTTCAGACGACCCTCAGGTGGATCTGGGCCAGATTCTCAAAAGCTTTCTTAAGAAAAAAAACTTAAAGGTTCTTAAGACAAACAATAAGATGTTCATCAGAATGTCCGTAAATGCAATTCTCAAAAAAAAACAAACACAAACAAAAAAAACTTTCTCAAATATTCTCTTAAGATCTTCATTGTTATTTCTGCTCATGTTGCATTTTACAGCTTATCATAAACAAAGCAAGATACATTTTGAATTTTTTATTATCTAATTTTTGTGTTATGTAGTTTTCATGAACACCACTTGTTCTTAGAACTATTCTTAAGAAAATAGTTAAGAAAAAAAAAGAGAGAAATCTTAAGAAGTTCTTTGAAGAATAACAATTTGTCATAACTTTTTTCTTAAGAATGAAGAAAAACACACACATTTAAGAAGATTTTCTTTCTTAAGACACTTTTGTGAATCCGCCTCCTGATCTGCTCATCAGAGTTCACGCTGTCATTAACCACTCTGACCACCCTGTCACTGCTGTGCTGAGAATGGTCCACCACCCAAATATCATCTGGTCAGTGGTGGTCCTGTGGTGGTCTCTTTCCAGTGATGAATGGGGTAGAGGGGGGCTGATAAACTGCAACGAAAGATGGACTTCAGTCTGGAACTGGGATTTGTGTATATGATGGTCAGATTGCCATGTTTGGGATTTCAGCTCCACTTATGAAAGTGGGCCAAACCGGAGCCCTTATTCACCAACACTGTTTAAGGTCAAATCATAAAACGAGTGCACAGTTTTTTTATTATTCATCTTTTTCATCTCACGTCTGGTAGGAGTGCCTGCAAACTCAAGCGTTATATTTTAACAGCCTGAAAATGCCTTGTTTGCAGCTATATAATCAAAATTGTGGTTGCACTTCTTTTCTACATGCACACTGATATGAACAAACGCTGAGATTATAAGTTATATTTTTTCCATTTTTAATTTCTACGACTAACACAGTAAAAATACAAAACACAGCTTACTAAGTACAGCTTACTAAGTACAATCCCCCCTCCACCAAACTTTACACTTGGCACAATGCAGTCAGACAAGTACCGTCTCCTGGCAACCACCAAACCCAGACTCATCCATCAGATTGCCAGACGGAGACGCGTGATTAGTCACTCCAGAGAACACGTCTCCAGTGGCGGCACTTTACACACCACTGCATTCAACGCTTTGCATTGCGCTCGGTGATGTAAGGCTTGGGTGCAGCTGCTCGGCCATGGAAACCCATTCCATGAAGCTCTCTACGCTGTTCTTGAGCTGATCTGAAGGCCACATGAAGTTTGGAGGTCTGTATCGATTGACTCTGCAGAAAGTAGTCGACCTCTGCGCACTATGCGCCTCAGCATCCGCTGACCCCGCTCTGTCATTTTACGTGGCCGACCACTTCATGGCTGAGTTGCTGTCGTTCCCAGTCGCTTCCACTTTGTTATAATACCACTGACAGTTGACTGTGGAATATTTAGTAGTGAGGAAATTTCACGACTGGACTTGTTGCACAGGTGGCCTCCTATCACGGTACCACGCTGGAGTTCACTGAGCTCCTGAGAGCGACCCATTCTTTCACTAATGTCTGTAGAAGCAGTCTGCAGGCCTAGGGGCTTGGTTTATACACCTGTGGCCATGGAAGTGATTGGAACACCTGAATTCAATGATTTGGATGGGTGAGTGAATACTTTCTGCAATATAGTGTACATGCATATGAGTTATATGCAAACTGGGGCATTGCAAAAGATATGTAAATGACGTGTTCATGCGCTGGGACATCAATTCTACCTACAGCACAGCAGTGATCTGTACATCGTTCTGGGCGGGCAAAACTTGATGAATAAGAGTGGATTCAATGGATGAGAGCAAGCTTATGTCACTTCCCTGTCGTCTGAATGACCACGCCCCCTTTTTTAGGGAAAACAAACCTTGTCAGAGTGCCGGCACCAACTGTTTACACTTATTTTACTTCAACCAAAGAGCAAAGGACAGAGGATGAAATGGTAAACCGTGAGACCCGGCCAGTCAATACGTGCACGTCTGTGGAAAACACCTCATCACAGGTAAGTTAGTGATGTTTAGGTCAACAGTTATAAGTGAAGTTAAGTGACCCTTATTGGTCCCACAGTGGGTAAATTTCACCTCCGCATTTTAACCCACCCAGGCAGTGAAACACCACTTACACACTAGTGAACACACACACTAGGGGGAGTGAGCACACTTGCCTGGAGCGGTGGGCAGCCCTATCCACAGCACCCGGGGAGCAGTTGGGGGTTAGGTGTCTTGCTCAAGGGCACTTCAGCCACGTACTGTCGGCTCAGGGGATCAAACCGGCGAGCTTCTGGTCACAGGGCTGGTTCCCTAACCTCCAGCCCACGACTGCCCCCAAAACAAAGAACTTCCCTGACCAGGAATCGAATCCTAGCCACTAGACCACCAGGGACATCATTTAAATGTGAAAGTAGCGCATGTTGATGCTGCACTATAAAAAAACTGATTCTGACTCTGAATGGTTAAGGTAACTGCTAGCTAACCAGCACTGGCTGCAGCTGGCTTTTCCCCTGGTTTGTTGAAATGGGTACTGAGTAAAACGGCCTCACCTGTCCGCTCCCTGAAGTGATCCAACCTCAAAGCGTGTCTAAATGCTGCATTAACAGGATGATAATAAAACTATAGGGAACCAAATCATAAATATGACGTCTCCAGCCACTGGACAGGGTCGTTCGTCTGCTTTAAAGGATGCCGACTGAAAGGAGTCTCATCAGCCCCATTTCTTTCGTTAATTCTGTATAACATCACTGATTGAACGTTGATCGGCAACATGACATAATAGTTTGCTTGGAGGGCCGATTGGACCCTACTAGCTATAAATCAGTAGGATATTCTTATTTTATGCTATTATAGTATAATAATAATATTATTACCCTAATATTACTGCATTATTCATATTTGCACCAACAATACTGTACAAGTTTGCTCTGCATACTTATCTTTTACATATGCTGCTCTCACCGGACATACTACCTCATTATATGCTCTCCACTCACTCTGTATATATGTCTATTATATTTATACTTGCATATCTATATTTTTTTTGCCACTATATACCATCCTTCTGCACCTAACTCTGTACCTGTACTCTGCACAATGACAAAGTTGAATCTAATCTAATCTCATCTAATCTAAACTGTCAAAGACCTCGGAATATTTGTTTATCGCCGGTGAAATTAGAGGGGATCCTTTCACCCAAAAAGTGGTGGGGGTATCATGCAAGAGCACAGTACCCAGGTGCGTTGCTCTCATCAGTGTGTTTTAGCGCTCACACTGCCACACATACACAAATGTGTCCCTTACAAAGAGAAAGATTCGGATTTGGACCACTTTCACCCGTAGTGTGAACAGAATCTACGCATGAAACCGATCAATGTTCTGCATAGTGGCTTAATATGGACTTGCTTATAAAAAAGCACCAAAGAAGTCAAACAGCACTGAGAGCTTTATGTTGTTATGAAAGTTACTCTCCTGAGTGTGACTAGCATGAAACTCTTTGAGGTTTATTCCTGACTCACGGCCTCACCTGCAACAACCAACCATCAGTCATGTTGCACCACAAATCTGGGCTGATCTCTCTCACACACACTTATTTCCAGTAAAACATTGTGGTTTGCCAATAACTCAACGTATCCTCGGTTGCTATTCAGCATTTTTTTGTTGTTTTAAAACAGCATCTTCTGGAAAGCTGTAACCTGAACTTTTTACAATAACATTTTTACAAGGGAGCGAATTTCTAGCACTGACTCCACTGCTTTACCTTCCGCAGCGCTGCCCTTCGTTACCCTTTTTACTGAACCCCTTTTCTAACGGTTCGCTTTCAATTGTATTTGGCTATATCAGCTAGTTCATATTGTATTGCTATTTTTATATTATAATGCTTTGGTCGATGACAATAACTATTACCTATTCATGACGCATTTCATTGTTTGGAATAAAAATACAACTCACACCTTCAAAACATCCTCCACAGTGTTGTCTTAAAGTCCTTGCATCACAGACGTACTGTAACATTTCCAGTGGCTGAACGTTTTCACTTCTTCCTACTCTGCCTTACCTGACTCGACTCATAAAGAGAGCTGAGTCATTACCTGAATTGATTCAGGTGTGTTGGAGCAGAAAACTGTGGTCACAGTACAAACTTGGCTTTTAGCTTATCACTCACCTCCAAAGGACAGAAGTCAATGCCGTTATCCTGGCCTCATGGATTCTGTTGGGAGAAATAAGGACACTTTTATTTCCACTGCATTTAGGTTTCCAGGCCAAAGCATCTGTTTACATTAGCAAATCTGCAATCATGTACCATGTACCACGTATGACCCCTCATCATCACAGGATCCGCACACATACACAGGAAAAATACATTTATATGAGAAGACAATAACAAAATATGGCTTGCAGAGGCCTGAGAGCCGTGTTCTTTAGATACTTGACATTAGTGCTGGGCAATATGGCAATAAATCAATATCATGATTAATTGAATGTTTTTCCTCAATTATGATTAAAGAACGTTTTTTTTTGTTTGTTTTTTTGCCCTCATAGTTCACTGACAAGGTCTGTACTGTAAATATGTTCTGCATATTTTAATGTAATCGTCTCAACAGCCAGATCGGAATTCACACGGCTTTTACGTCAATCCAACTCGACATTCGTCATAATTTCATGCTGCTGAAACCTAATAAACATTCATGGAGATATTTCTATACAAAAATTAGAGGAGACTCATCCAAAACTGCTGTGTCTGATCCACTCGTACCAGCGCAACATACACTAACACTCTACCACCATGTCAGTGTTACTGCAGTGCTGAGAATGATCCACCACCCAAACAGTACCTGCTCTGTGAGGGTCCATGGGGGTCCTGACCACTGAAGAACAGGGTAAAAGGGGGCTAACAAAGTATCAGAGAAACAGATGGACTACAGTCTGTAACTGTAGAACTACAAAGTGCACCTATATAGTAAGTGGAGCTGATAAAATGGACAATGAGCATAGAAACAAGGAGGTGGTCAGAATGTCATGCCTGATCAGTGTAGTTACTGAAGCTTCACCGATGCGAGTGTAGAGGATTAGGACTCAAACCTGAGCGAGGGAAGTCAAGTGACAGAACTATTTTAAATGATTTTTGTTTCTGATCTGCTCTGTAAAATGGGGCATTTACAATGTGCCCAATCATGTATATTCACAGTATTATTAATGAGTGTTGAGGTTTAGGGACACTCCTACTTGGATCCAAGACCAGTCTGAGGTCACCAAGTCGTAATCCCATATTCTCATTCTCATACTGTACAGTGATGTAAAGGTCTCTAACGTTGAGCTGTGTAACCCAAGCGGATATCGTACGAATCAATTTACAAAGTAGAGTGACTCAAAACAGAGATTACAAAATAGAGCTGTCGGTGCCCGAGATTATCTAGGTGGATTAGCGGCTAAATTTAGTCATTAATATAATTACAGTCCATGATAAGAGCCACGGCTGAGTCAGCTGGACTTTTCCTAACCATTAATTATGCACATCAGTATTTGGCAGAGGTTAAAGATGTGTAATATGAGGCACTCAAAACTCTTCAGATGTCTGGTTCCTCTCACCACCACTGTAACTTTCCACAGAATGGAGCATTTCACCACAAACCCCTTCGAATGACTTTGTTTACATCTTAACTATTTAATTATGCAGAAATTTTAAAAGTTACTACCTTTCAAACCAGTAAGAAGCATCTAAAACCAAGTAGAATAACTTTTTTTCTTTAGAACAGTCTCAATGGGAAATATTAGTTATATTGACTATATTTAAGACGTTTTACTTGCCAAGGTACGATTTTTGGCACTGTAATCTTGGAGACGCTTGAAAACAGAAAGAATAGAAAAGAGGAAATAATCATTTTTTTCCTTTGTGGGACGGCAGTGGGATAAAGGACGGTCTCCTCTTCCTCCGTCATCGCTTCATTTACAGGAATAGAGGCAGATCCGTTATCTCTCGGCAGTCCTTTGCGAGCGCTCCAAAGTAAATATGGCTCTCATTCAGGTCACTGGTTTCTCTGAGGACGAAGCGCTGGAGGCACGTCCGCCCTGCGGACCCCCGGTTTCCCCTCCATGCTGAAGGCTGAACTAGTGTCACCTCCTTGTAAAATTTAACACTTCCTTTGAGTGCTCCTCAAAGCTACATTAATAATTCCTCCTTAAACAAAGCCAAATGCAACCTGGAAGGAATCGCCAAAGGTGGCGAGTAGGACGGGCTTTGCCATCCCGCTCTAGGGGGCGCTCAGAGGACGCCTGCTCTACCTCTCTAAAGCAGTTCCCTTCACTGTTGTCTACAGAGAAATGCGCAACATGACTGAAAAGCCTGCTCAGTTAACTTTTTAGACCATGCAACCTTTCTGCAGAACGTCCCCAAGAAAGAGTGACATACGTGACCCAGAGCTGACCGATCAACACTGAGGATGCCTATTAAAGCACAACGTGAAGCAGAGTGCCTGAAATCCCTCCCCTGTGAAAAATCGCAGTAACTCGCGGCCTCAAGTGGCTTATTGCTTTAATAAAATGACCAAACATGAAAGTGGTTCTGAAAATAATTCAAGTTGATCTTAATAATAATCAACATAAACAAGTATTCCACCAAGAAATGTAGTTCCTTCAGAGTATGATATTGTGGCCAAGCAACCGTTTGGTTGTGCATCGCTGTAAACCGCAGTCATTTCAACTTTCAAATCTTTTGTTGTATATCAATGAACATCTGATAACACAGCAATGTTTAATCCATAAACCTTCACTTTGCTCACTAAATTTCCACCGCGAGTCTTACTTAGCATAAAGCTAACGGCGTCCCTCTTCTCGCATTGAGGCTAAAGCTCAAACAGCTCTCTGCTTCCTACATAGTGCACTATATAGGAGTTTAAATACTGGATCCTGCAGCCAAACAGAGCAAAATACAGCTAAAAAATTGTGATTTAGGATTCAGACTCATCCACACTCGAAAAATGATGCACTGTTTGGCTGCAGAAGCTAGAATTTCTAAGCTTTCATAGCTAGAACACTATTTAGGGAGTACAGAGCCGTTTGGGACTCAGCCTGGGTTTGACACGACTTCTGACTGAAACACGGACATTTGAACTGTGTAAATCATTCAAGTGACGTTTTTAGACTTTTATACTGCAGTTTTACAGTGAATCACGCTGTAAGTGCTATAATTAAATCCTGTGATATTAATGATGGAGCTGTTTAGGCTGTTGGCTCTTTTAGCCTGTTAGCTAGCTGACCAGCCTGGTTCTAGTTAAGAATATAAGTTGTCAGCCCCTCAGCTTAAACAAACAATGGGCACTTACTTCATCACCACACTCGGTGCTCCATGTGAGCAGCACTAGAATCAAAGATTATTCATTAACAGCAGAAGGGTTTTTTTCGTGCCGTGGCGCAGTGATACAGAGTTCAGTTACTGTGAGACGGTCAGTGTGTATATATCGTGGATTTTTCAACAGTTTTGAATGCAGCTCAGTCAATCAGATTTTAGGACCGGAACTATTTTTTATAAAGAGTAAAGCTAAAAAGAGTAAAGCTAATTTCGGCTGTTGTCGAACACCCAGGGTAATGAAGATAGCTGGCGCTGTCAAAAGTCAACATGTCTGCACATGCACAGTGTACATACAACTAATCTCGCATAAAAAGTTGATGCTCACCTATGAAGCGCTACGGCCAAAAAAGTGAGCCCAAATGTGTTCATCTGGACGGGAATCAGTATTTTAGTTTGAGAACTGCTGCAAGATTTCATCATCAGCCGTCTGTCTGAATAACTGACCAACAGGACTGAAAATTCAGTAGGAACATTATGTAGCAGAGGGAAGAGTACACTGTTAAAAAGATGGTGCTTCAAGGGTTCTTTAGTAAAGAAAATGGTTCTATACAGAATCATGAATACTTAAAGAATCCTTTGCAGGATTAAGGAGATTTTTGCATTGCAAAATGGTTCTTCAGACTGATGGAGTACGTGCTATAGACGGTTCTGTGTAGAACCCTTATGAAAATGGTTCTATATAGCACCCGAAATGGTTTTGCGATGGTTACGGAATCAAGCTTGTAACAACAGAAGAACCCTTTTGGGTGCTACATAAAACTCAACTTTCAAAAAGATTCTACACAGAACCGTCTATAGCACATTCATGCACATTTTCCATCTATGTGAAGAAACTTTCATGATGCAAACAACGCTTCAAGGTTCTTTGAGTGTTCATGGTTCTATACTTCATATCTCCATTTCTTTACTGAAGAACCCTTGAAGAACCATCTTTTTAAAAGTGTACATTTATAAGCATGAATGTGTTACTCAACAATAAACTGCCTCAGTCATTCAAAAGCAAAGTGAAATCTTTTAGCTACTGCTGGTAAAATCACTTCATGAGCTAATGCTAGAGCTAATAGTTTAACGTTAGATGAGAGGCAGTTGTTGTTTTCTACACAAGATAAATGATTTTGTGTGAATGTGAATGATGTGGAAACGTTGGATTTCATAGTTTGCCTTCTCAGTCATGTTGGTGGTGGGATAAACACTGATTACAGAAACCTGGAATAACATTTTCACTAAAGCAGAGCTGTGCAGCACTCTATTCTACCACAATCAGAAGGAGAGTAAGCGTTTTATACTGTTTATTATTACACAGTCAGAACAGCAATTAAGTATAAATTACTGATTTTCCAGGAGATATTATATGAGGAGATTAGATATGAGATAATCTGTTTGCATAAGGAAGAAGAAAACTGATTAAAAGCTACAGAGAAAATGAGGCTCCTAACAACCACCTAGAAGAGCTGGTCGACCCCAAAACTGCCCCCATCAGATAAACGGCACTTAAAGCTTTCGTCTCTGAGAGAGAGGAGAAAATCAAGCTGATCAGATCTGAAAACATCCACAGGTGTTTCTGTCCATCCTTCCACTGTGAGAAGACGACTCAGCGCTGTGGGTCTGAAAGGATGTGTAGCTGATCAAGAAGAACCTCACTGAGAAAAGGAGACGGACACACCAAACAAAGAAGCTGAACGATGGACTGACCACCCCAGAGTCCAGACCTCAACACCACTGAATGTGTTTGATTACTTCAGAAAATCATCAACCAGCTTCTAAGACTGAACTTTGGAGGTGTGTCTGCAGATTCTTTGAGGAGCTGAAAAATGAATACCTTGTACTTAATGGCTGCTTTGACTAGAAATTAAATAAATAAA